CCACCGACTTATGAAACACTTATTCGAGAGTGTTTGCTCAAAAATCGACCAGTAATTTTTACAGCTAAATGTGGTCTCATAAGCCAATGGTCATGTATTACTGAATGGTTAAATAAAGATCAAACCGAACCTGATTTTGATCGATTGATAAATTTATATGGTCATATGACTGTACCTGTTACAAAATGTTCATCGAATATAACTGAATATAATACAGATGAAAATAAATTAACTATGCGTTTTGATGAATTTGTTAATTTATGGCGTAATAATGAAACAACATCAGAATATTATTGTAAAGATTGGCATTTACAAAAAATGTCTAATGAAGCAAAATCGTTATTTTATACTATTCCAATTTATTTTCAATCAGATTGGCTTAATGAAAAATGTCTTGCAGAAAATGAAGATGATTTTCGTTTTGTTTATATGGGTGGTAATGGAACAAATACACCATTACATATGGATGTTCTTGGTACATATTCTTGGTCAGCAAATATATGTGGTAAAAAACGATGGCATTTTTCTAAACCATATTCAATTGAAGTTATACAAGAACCTGGCGATATATTATTTGTACCATCAGAATGGTATCATGATGTAACAAATATTGGTTATACAATATCAATTAATCATAATTGGTTTAATGCATTTAATATTTTTCGTATTTGGAAATATTTATGTTTAATACTTAATGATATTGAATATCGTATTGAAGATTGTCGTTCCATAATGAGTGATACTTGGTATGAACATTGTCAATTAATACTTCAAGCAAATGAAGGAATGAATTTTGCTTCACTTTATAAACTTCTATATATAATTGTTCAACGACGAATTAAAGAAAATAATAATGAACAGACAATATTTGATTTATGGATAATTGATAAATTAATACGACATATGTTGCATACTACTGCATTTGTGCATGCTTTTGATTTCGATACATTTCCTCAAAGACCAAAAGCATTACTTAAACAAATTCATTCATTTATTGAGACACAAAAAACAATAAAATGTGTGGACGGATGAAAGTTTTACAGAAAACACAATAAACTAATTATTCTTTTTTTCTTATTCAAAAAATGAAGGTCCTTCATAAAAATTTGATAAAATAATAACATGTCGTTTGATTGGATCAATGATCATATAAACAAAATCTTGTTCGTATGCTGTGCGTGAAGGATAAATTTTTTTACCATTTTCATTCTAAAGATATAATAATAATAATATTTAGTCATAAATGATCGAGTTTTGAAATTTTTATTACATAACCAAAAATTTTTTCTCCTATTGATATTCTTTGTAGTTTCTTTTAAAATACTTACCAATGCTTCAATTTTAAAAACAGGTGAAACAACTTGAATTTGTTGACTTTCAGCATCTTTTTGTACACTAACTAATTCTTTATAAACAGATTTCGTTACATCAAGATAAGGTTGAATTTCATCTTCATATTCTATCAATAGAAAACAAAAGCAACATATAGAATTTTTAGATTGATGAACATTCAACATTGAAAAGTTTAATAGGCACAAAAAAAAACAACGGTAAGAAGTGAGTATGGGAATGAACAAATATAAAGTAAAAGTTTGAAAACTGTACAATGACTGTAAAAGTACTTGCTGGATGTCGATTAGCTTCATTCCGAGCCCGATTGAATATAAAAAAGGGTACCAGTATGGGTACAAAAAAAATCTTACCCATGCAGAACACAAGCTATAACCGACACCTATATTGATTCATTCGCTTTTCAATAGACGTCATGTTTTTTTGCGTGCATAACTTTTCTCATACTTATCGTTTCGATTCTCAAAATCTTTATGTCTGTTCTTGACAGTAAAAATAACTTACGACAAACTTGTCCACCAAGACAAAAATGTTTAAACAAACTATAAAGAAAAACAAAACAAATCACAAATAAAATCTAAATTAATCACGTACTGGAAGATAAATTCTTTTCGATCATTTTCAGAAAACATGTCATAACCTTCAAATTCATCCATAATTAAAACCTTAAATATAGATTATATGAATTTCGTGAACAAGTATAATAATTATTTTACTTTTCGAAGTTCATCCGAAATAATAAATTCATCTTTATATTCTTCAACACATTTTCTTATATATCCACCATTTTCACGAACAACTTTATTATCAAATAAACGATCAAAAAATTCTAATGAAAGAATATTTGTATTTAATTGTTCAATACGAACATCATGTACTGATTGACCAAGTAATTGCCATTCACCTGATTTTGTAAACATCTTAAGTGTACTAAGAACATTTGGATCTTTAAAAAATTCCTATAATATATATTATATATAGATATAAAATATTAGATATCATAATAATATTTACTAAAATAAATTTTCGAGCATTATATTCTTGAAATGGTTGATCAAATATATACATATTTGCTCGTAATTTTCCACGCATACCCCTATAAAATCGACATACATACATATGAAAAACAAAGCACTAAAATTTTTTACCATTTAATCAAATAATCTCGATTTTGTTTTCCATCAATGCTTTCAAACTTTTTATCAATTGCTTGAAAACGATATTCACTAGTAGCAGCATCATTATCAGTATTTTCATTATGACTCATTATAATCTAAAATACAAAAATCTAAATCTTGTCTCATCTATCACGCACGTTAGGTTACAAATGTATATAGTTTAGAAAAAAATAATGCTTGTATACTGTAATAATCTTATCTTCTTTTGAATCATTTAGCTATTTAGTTAATTAAAAGATTAGAAATCCTAAATAATACCATTATATACCGATGATGTTTTGAAAAATAAGGAAATCCATATAAATGAATATTAAATTTAAGCAAAGAAAAATACCATTTATCTATATCTTTTTTTCTTTTTTTTAAGGAAAAAATTCATCAAGTGATAAATCATCACTTCTCATTATACAACAAGAAACACAAACAACATAAAGCATGTTAACTAGCAATAGAATAGATCTAGTTTTTATTAATAATATTTAAATTCTATCTCATTCAAATGATATTTAACCATTGACTTCGACAAACATAGATTGTTGTTGACCATCATTTATCGCATGACCGTTCGATTCATTATCAAATATAACAGGTTGATTTGGCATAAATAGAACACCATTTAGTTGACATGGTCCAGCAAATATATCTGGTCCATTTTCAATACCAAGTACATATTTTGGATGAATTGCAAGAGCACGTAATAATGTTTGACTTGTATAACATAAACGATCTTGTTCTTCAGGTGTCATTATAGTATGTGATCGAGATGGATTCATATTTGTATCACTAAATGGATCATATAAACCATTTGAACCAGGTAAAAATAGACCACTTGATAAAAGTTGTAATGCTCGTCTAGAGAAGAAACAAAAAGGAATTTTTTTCATTAATAATAATTAGTAAATTTTCATTATTGTGTTTTTGTTTTTCTTACTTAAATGCATAACTAGGTGGTAATTGTTCAGATGAATTATTATTTATTACACAATGATGAGCAAGTAAATTAATTAACCATGGATTAAGTGGTTCAAGACCATGAAAACGTTGTCGTAAATCTTTTAATAAACGAACAAGTACTTTATTTGATGGATGAATACAAACTTCATCAACCCATTTTGCATGTTTTGTAGCATTAAAATTACGTTTACACATAGCTCGATCTAAATGTATTGTTGGATCAAGTGAATGCCAATTAGCTGGTAATGTAGTTAATAATAAGTGTACAGCCATTGTGCCATTTTCAAATGAAAGACCATAATCAGTTGTTTGAATGGAAAGTACTGTAGTTTTAAAGTAAATCTTTTCATTTTTTTAGTCATAATATAAAAACTTACATGCTTCTTCATTTGATGGACATTCATTTTGAAGATCTTGTTTTAAACGATTACCTAATTGTTCTATTGCTTCTCCTAAGACAAACAAAAAGAGAATAGTAGATGTAGTTCTGAGAAGTCAAGTTTTTTCGATTTCGAAATTTGTTTTTAGCATTTTTCTATAATGGTAATTCGCATAAAGAAACAAAATAGTGACTTGAATAGAGAAAATTGTTTCCTTAATCTCTTAAGTTCGAAAATTGAAGCCTTTTTTGACTGAATTACATAAATTTTAAGAGAAACTCGAAAGTCTTTTTTGTTCAATTTTCTCTTAGAAAATGACAAAAAAAACTACTTTTGAGCATTTCTTAATATCGATGTAGGTTCCATCAAAAAAAAACGTCATAAAGAGTTCGGCAGTTGTGTCATTTCGTAGATAATCAGTTGCTCTATTACTGTGCGTAATCGAAAGAAAACTTTTTCGGATTCTAGATGTAGAAAAGCTAGAATTAGAGTTTTATAGTTTCTAAGCATTGAAAATATTGTGAAAATTTTATTTTTCTCAAATTTTTGTTGAAAACAATTTTCCCTATTGTTATCATTACGGAAAAAATCGACATTAAATTTGTATGAACGATTTTTGAAAAGTCATTATATATTTCTGTTTTGAGCCGCTTATTAATAAGAATTGATCTATGATTTATTTCTCAAAATTTATTTTTTTTTTTTTTTTTTTTTTTTTTGTGCTTTATTAATAATAAAAGTTAATGGCCGTAGGCCTATTAATACATCATACACTACAAAGTATCAGCACGTGAAACGAGAAGAGATGCACAGAGTGGAACAAGAAGATATACAGAGAGTGGAACGAGAAGAGATGCAGAAAGTATTATAAAATACCTGGCCCGTCGACACGCAACTAACAATACAGTCAGACATACATACAACATGACATAGCACAGAACCAAATTGCAAGATATTATAATTAATATCCGAGGGAAGGGGGGAAGAGGTCTGATGCTCACTTAATACGATATACTCACAAAAATGAGTTAGGAAAACGTACAAGAATGTCGAGCTCGTTTTCAGGTATGTAAGGGATAGAATTTTCATCGCTATTTTCTAGCCAGTGTAGACATTTTTCAATGATAGAGGTATGAGGAACAATACGTTTGGATCTATAAATGCATTTCACCGGAAACTCTTTGTCTAACCACTGACTCCTAATTGAATTTAAGGACTGTTGCTCAATTCTCAAAATTTATTCATATATATACATAGTAGAATATTTTTGTTTATTAATTAACATATGATATGCTTCACATACTTGTTGGAAGTGTTTTAAGAACGACAACAAGATCAGATGTTAGACGAGATTTAGAATCAATTGGTGGAATGATTATTGTATTATGTTTGTGTGAACCAACATCACGTACTTCACTTACTTGCTAAAAAAAAATACTTGTTTTTACACGAGAAATAATTTACAATAAGTTGTTCATACACAAGCAGTAAATGAATTTGGTGAAAGAACAAGTGCTTCAAGTTTTTGTCGAACACGTGTAACAAAATTCATTAATGCAAAACTGTCAGCTGATGATGGTGTTAATTGTTGAATACGTTCCATAATAATCTAAATAAATAAAATTTTCTAGATTAGTAGAAGAAAAAAAAACCAACTCACTGGAGTTAAGATTGGATCATCAATAAGTTGTTTCATCGATGGAAATGATTCTGGTAACTAAGAAATGCGGAAAAAAAAAGAAACTAATTGGTTTTTTGTTTTCATTAAAACTTACGTTGAGAAAATCAAAGACATCACTTGATTGACCTTGTTGTTGATATTGAGAAGAGTGAAGTCTATAAGAAAAAACAAAAATATTTATTTTTGAATAATAAATTTGCTATATACCGATATGGTTGTTGATATTGAGGACGATTTTGACGCCAAGGCGGGAAACGTGGTCGACTACGCCGCATTCTGTTTAATTTTAAAAAGAAAAAGATCAATTAATCTAAAACTATACAGTCAATAAGTATGGTCTATATTATCTCTGTTTTCAACTTTCATTTTCTTTCTCATATCAACGAACCACAACTTGGTCAAATACAACTGACGATAGTTACCGATAGATGTCGTTAAAATTTAATAAATCAAATTTTTTTTCTTTCTTCTTCCCCCCGTCGTGCTGTAAATGTTGTATACATGTATTTTTGTTATACTAATAGACGTTTGCATGAAGACGCTGTTCTTATATTTGTAATATATCCTTTGACCTTCGAAAGATAACAGTTATTCTAGTTGTTTTGTTTAACCTAACCAAGAGATATAGAAAATTTTATTATGTTAAAATTATCAAGATGATATACAGGAGCAAGAGAAGAAGAGCAACAGTCGTTGCAACTTCTAATTTTTGTTTTCAATTTGATTTGTCTTTTAGATTTTACTTCAATGGCATCGACACCAATCAGTGTTAAGATACTGATGTTAATTGGTCAATTAGTATTGGCATGTATTTATGGTACATTGGGAACTATCATGACTTGTCTTCTTTTTCTTCGACTCGGACCAAGAAAGTTTTTTAGACGAGTTGAACGGCCCACACCACCAGCACAAGCAATTGATCCTGTTTATGGAGAACATGCAATAATTAAATTAAAAGTAATTTTATTTTTCATGATATTATAAATATTTAAATTGATTTAAAAAAAAAAAAATTCTAGTCATCTAATATCGCTCTTCATTATGTTTCAAAAGGTTCATCAGATCAACCATTAATGTTATTTGTTCATGGTTTTCCTGAATGTTGGTATGCTTGGCGATATCAAATGAAATATTTTTCAAAAAAATATCGGTATAATTATTCAATAATCAATAAAAAAAAACAATCATTAATTATTTATTTTGTAGAGTTGTCGCTATTGATCAACGTGGATATGGTCTTAGTTCAAAACCGTCTAATGTTGGAGATTATAAAGTTGAAATATTAGTTCGTGATATTGTTGATATTATTGAACAACTTAGTGAGATTGATAAATTTAGTATTCTTGATATTGGTTTGTTTTTCTTTTGGTTGATATTTTTAGATTATAAATCATGTGTTCTGGTTGGTCATGACTGGGGAGCTGTAGTGTCATGGGCTTGTGCAATGCTGTATGTGTATTAATATTTATTTTTGTATTTATTTTTTATTTATCAGTTATCCTAATTTAATCGACAAATTGATTATAATGAATGTTCCACATCCAGCTGCTTATCGCGATAATATATCATTAAAACAACTTCGTCGATCATGGTTTGTTTATTTTTAAAAGTTCTTATTTCATATTTAGTTAATGTTTTCAACTTCAGGTATATGTTCTTTTATCAAATACCATTTATTCCTGAATTATTATTCGCATCGGATGATTTTGCAACTTTTAAACGAATTTTTTATACAAAACCAATGGGTTTGATTAATAAACATAACATGACAGCAGATGATTTTGAAGTTTATCTGTATACATTTTCTCAAAAAGGTAATTTATATGAATTAGTTCATATTTATTTTTTGGTTATCATATTAATATAGGAACACCAACAGCGGCAATAAATTATTATCGTGCTTTATTCAGACATCAAAGAGATGATTTACAAGCACAAATAACTGTACCAGTTTTAATTGTATGGGGTTGTCAAGATGCAGCACTAGGTGAAGAACTTGCTGATGCAAGCCAAAACTATTGTTCTAATGTTCAATTAAAGAAAATTCAAAATGCATCACATTGGGTAAACCAAGATGTACCAGATGAAGTTAATCAATATATGGAAGCTTTCCTCAATGAAAAGTCGACCATGAAACACACAACCAATTAATAAAAGGACTTAATTCTTCTTGCAGTAGTAGATCGTGATTTTTGATTTCTAATAAAATTAGATAGAAACTAGGAAAATATTATTAATGAAAATATTTGATCATCAATAAATTATATGAATGATCTGTGGTATCAGAAACTTTCGAGAAAATGTCGATTGATTTCATCTCGAACATTATTTCTTTTATATTTAAAAGATTTTAATTAAAAAAAAAACGATTATAATTAATGTTTTTCTTCTGATTGATAACGAATCAAACATTCAATGTTTTTTACAATTTAATCTTATATTCATTAGCAGTTTTAGTCAATATATTTCAGTGAAATGCTTGTGATTGCTGAAGTCAAAGCTCAAAGAGTTTTACTCATCATCGAGAATGTCTTTTTCTTCGACGCAGCTGCTTTTCATTTGAATAGTTTCGTTAATAAAGACAATATCAGATAGTGAAGTGAAGAAAATCCACATACAATTATTGAAATAGTCATGCAATATTCAAAACTAAATGTTTGGTGTGCAATGTTCGAAAAATCCATTAATTTCTTACCATGCGTAACAAAATGTAAGCAAAGTCAGTAGCGGATTCGAATATTTCTTGCTGATATTCGCTTCTGAAGTTGTGCTAACTCTCTAGTTGGTTGTGTAGGATGTATAATTCAATTCTGCCTTCGATGGTACTATTTTCTTTTGGTAGCATCGGGTAAAAAGGAGTGTTTGCGCCGTAATACTTGATTTTCATCATTTTCCCAGTGAGATTTTCTTCTCGTTGTCCTGTGATCTTTATTCGAATTGTTATGAACGAAATATAACCATATTTTCGTTTTGTTAGTTGTGATTTCATATTAATTTTTTTGTGTTAAGCTATTGTAACTCTGATTAATTTTTCACATCGGTAGAAAACATACCTAAATACTCAAAAATATAATATTGAAAACTTGCGGCATACCAACTCAGGAATCTAGTTATCAGCATCTTTTAGTGGTTTATCCCACCCTTTTATAATGTTGCTTTTTTTTTTATAAGTAATCAATGAATTGTATTTTCATTCTTCTATTAATCAGTATAACAGAATGAATATTTATTTTCTTTAACAAATTGATATAGATCAATATCTAAATCTTTTTAATGAATGCTTATTATATTTAAAAATGTCGCTCTCCGACTATATACAATATTGTAGTTTCTGTTGTAAAAAGAGAGATAAATAGTCTAGTTACATTCATTTATAAAAGGTTAATAATGCGTTTTGTCTTATGTTAGATTTAAAAATATTTTTTTGTGTTCAGTAAAAGTCATCATCTATAATTTTTTTATTTAAAATCATCAAAACATATCTGTTTTTGATTCAGTAAAGTGATTTTGTTCCATTTATATCAAATACAAAGCAAAGCTCACAAATCTTTTACCTAACCCTTATCAAAACAGACATAAGTATATTATGATTCAGCAGAAAAACGACAAACTTCTTACATAGATTAGACACTAAAGCAATGAAAAAAGAATATTCTATTGATGAGTAATGTCTAGAAATAATATATACGATATGTCATCTATTATACTATTGCAACGTATATATGAATTATAAAAGGTAATCGTTATATAATGATCTTAACTTGAAAATATAGAATTTCTAACGCCTACATTTATAGGCAAAACTGAAAAGGATACATTTTTCTTCCATTTCTTACTTCCATTACGCCTCCAAAACAAAACTATAAAAGGGTGATTCATACTTTTTCTGCATAAATCATTCATCGCTTTCTATTAATACAACAGAACACAAAGTGTCATTTACACTGTTCTACTAAATATCTTGAAATCGTAGACGAGAAGAAAAAAAAAACCAAATACACTGCTTTGCATTCGACAACAAACATGAACAGAAAAATGTTTTTTTTTTCTTCTGATTCATAAACCTTCCTGTGAAGGTTACGTACAGATATATATATATACCCGCCTTTAAATGTTATTTTCGTTTTAGAGAAGCATTCAATTTTTTACCAATCATAGTTATGGTATTCAGCAAAGAACATGCAGTTGAATGTTTGTCTAAAACGCCTATTGCATTTATTGGTGCTATAAGCCAGGTTATTCCGGGTATGTCCACACGATCAATGCCACCAATAAATCATTATAAATTACGACTGGAAAATATTCGATCTTTACGTGGTTCTGTTTCAACAACAGAGTTCACTTATCATCAACGTGGTGCAGGCTATTTTCTTCAACATGTTATTCAGAATCCTGATGGTTCAGAGACAATGTCAGATCAAAAAGAACAAGAACAAGTAAAAGAACCAACAGTTGGTGTAACTTATTTAGCATGTTCTAGTGATGGACAACATATAAATACTTTAGTTGAATTAGATAATAATACAATTGAACAATTAATTAAATCATCGAAAATTCCATTAGGATGGAGTAAACAATCGAATGGACATTATGAAAGTCCTTGGCAACATTCTCATGCACAACATGTCAAATGGCATGATAATCAACGATTTACTAGTCATGAGAAATGTATCAAAAGTGGTCGACCATTACTTATTACAACTGATGATATTTCACTTACATGTGAACCCATCAAAGCAGCTCATACAAAAGAATATCAAAATCCAGATGGTGATGGTATGTAAAAAAAAAAAAATTTTTTCATTTTATCAGATTTTTAATTGTCTTATTCTAGGTGTTTTTAAACTAACAGTGACAAATAATAGTAATCGACCAGTTGAAGTTCCTGCATTATTACGTGATTCTCATTCAAAAAACATTCTTTGGGAAGAAAGTGTCTTTGTTATTACGGATTCAGGCAATCATTTCTTTCCAGGTCATGGTCAAGCACGAGATGTTGAATCAACTGTACTTGAACCTTACGAAAGTGCATCAACGAAATTAGATACATTAACTTTGCATGGTTTATCATGGCCTCAAGGTGGTTGGCGTTTACATTTAAGATTTTGTTTAGGTGATAAAGCTACTGAAGGAAATTATTATTATTTTACTGATCATCATGAACCATTACGTAAAAAATCTGAGAAGAAAAAAACTGCTATTGTTGACTAAATGAAATGAAATAATAATTGAGAAAATGTTTTTCTTTTTGTAGATAGGTTTTTTAGTGTAAACTATTTATATAATATACGGGCACTAAATAGAGAATGTGATGTACAGATTAATTGATTTTATTTTTGCATATTATTATATACTTGTATCAATGTAATAAATAATAAATAAATAAAAACATAGCAAAATTGAATATTCAGATATATTTTTAATCACTAGACTTAAAAAAATTAGTTGATTGTTTGAAGATGAATCGTTTTTATTCATGTTTAAGAAATATTAAGCAAATAGAACACATAATAATAATAATAGCTGAGCTATCAAACATATTCATTACCAAAAATTGTGTACATACTGTTAGAATACGTCTTTTAATAATGAAAAAGAAAAGGAAGATATTGATGACTAGAGTACTATGTACATTTAATTAGTACACAATGATTCTTGTGTAAGACGTAAACGAGAAAATACAATTCCACCAGTTGGATTATTATCAGTGGATGTTATTTGTTCGATATTTTGTCCCACGACAGCAGCATGAAAATGTTTATTTTCATCTGATGACGTTATACGACGATGATTTGTATTAAGAAAAACAGTTAATTGAACAGAAGTTGGAACAGATGTTAATGTTGATGATGTTAATGAAACATTTTCAATATCAAGTGATAATATTTCAATATGAATTGTTGATATTGAATCTCGAATTCGAAATGCATATGCATAACTTGGAAAAACAAAATTTTCATCAACTTGTGATGAACCTTGAGAATTTTCATAAAGAACTTCAATAGAACCTGTTTTTGAAATTGTTATCGTCATTCCTATTTAAATATTTTATAAGCAAGAATAAAAGAATTTTTTTGAAATCAATTCAAAGTTCACTACCATTATTTTTTTGACCAACTCAGGTTTTCAACAAGAGTACAACCAATCATGCTGAAATTTTTACTTCAAATAGGCTTACACATGTTCGAGAAAAAGAAATTTCAATGAAATTTTTGATGTGGAAATCAGAGTTGTCCATGGAGCCGCATCCTGCTGCATTACGATTTCCATCCAATTTCCTATGATTGAGTTGAAACTATTTTTGAAGATACTTAAGACTATATCTCATAGGTAATTTTAAACTTTTCATGGAAATCTTATTTTCTTCTTTTTTTTTGTTTTTAATAAGAAAAATATGTAAAGGTTCAGAAGTGAAGTCACGCATATAAGTTTTAAAATCCTATAAATCTGGATACGAAGGTTAATAATGAAACATGGTTGATTCTACCTCTGAACGATACTTCTAAGTATCTGTAGTAAAAAAATTCAGTCCAATCAAACACAGTTAAATAAGGGTCATAACGTATCAGGATACAGTCCTACGGAAAACATTCTCTTTGAGATTTTTTTGCTTCGAACATCTATCCCCTTATTGTAGGTGCTGCATCCATGGCAAAAGTTTCAGCATGATTTGTCAAACAGTCTTGAAAAAAACTAAAAGTAGTCAACAACAAAAAGACAGATTTTCCTTAAATATTTACCTGCTTTTGATGTATGTTCAGTTTCAGCTAAATAACATAGAACAGCTTGTGTTTGTGATGATGCATCCGTAAGAAAATCAATTGTGCCTGACCATGTACAAGCAACTGTTGAATCAAATGTTTGTTTTGTACGTAGAAAAACATTAGATTTTAATAGAACGGCATTAAAATCTGATACTAAAACATTATCTTCTTGACCTGTTGTTGTATGCCAATTATCTTTCATTGATGGAAATATATCTTTTCCACTTTCTCTTTCATTTTGAGTATAAAAATTTTCATTTATTAAACTATCAAATGGTGGTGGTAAATCATAATAAATTAATGAACGATTAAAATATGTTCGAAATTGAAGTAAACGATTGAAATTTTCTTTCGTATTTTCAACTTCATTAATCGGTGACCAAAATGTTAAACCTGATTTAGTAACTTGTGCAAGCCAATGAAGTTGATCAAATGATTTAAGTGCTAATGAAAGACGAACAGGAAATGTTATTTCAAAATTAAATAAAGAATAATTATCATTTTTTGTTATTGTTCGATACATATTAATTACACTTGACCATGTATATGAATTTGTTGTTTTATCATAAATTGTTGTCCAACCAAGTGAAAATGATATCATTAATTGTGGTATTACACGAAAAGCAAACGTCAGACTTTCACTTAAGAAACGTTGAGCATCAATAGGTTGTGCACATTGTGGATTTGCACGAACAATATCAGCATTGAGAATAATAGGGCCATTAATCTAAGATTAAAAAAAATAAAATAAAACAAAATAGGATGAATTGTTAATGAACTCACATTATCTTTTTGTACTTCTAATTCATTGAGACATGGTTGTAATGCATTGATATCTTTAAAATCAAGTTTCAAACCTTTACTTGTTGATTTAACACCGTTGAGAAAATCAGAAAATGTTAAATCACTTGTTTTATGTGGTGGATGAGCCATGATAGGATTACTCGAAGATGAACCTATTAGAATATCAGCTTCAATAAACATTAATGAACCTATTAAATAAAAAAAATTTTTTTGTTCATTATTGAAATATTTCATATTGGAATACATACTTTTAAGTGCTTCTTCAAGTTTTTCTCGACTATTAACAGCATGCGCCCATGTAATACGTGATGCATCATTTTCAATACTTGGAAAATAATGTAATGTACGTTGAAAATATCGTTTATCATCAGTCGACATTAATTTTTCTAGAATTTAAAACAAAAAAAAAAAAAAAAAGAAGACAAATAAGGAAAACTAAAAGATATATGTATATATTTTTCTTTATTTATTATTATAAATATATCTGATCTATGGATTACCACAATAAAGAAGAAGAAGAACGAAAAATAGAAAATAAAGAAACTTTTAGGTTAATATTGATTCATTATTCGCATGATCCATGTCAGATGTTGATGTATTGTCGTCGAATGTACTTTGTACGCATGAGCGATAATATTCTTTACTTGATATTAATTCATGAAAAAGATTTTGTGTTGATATTATATCAGGAAGAATATTTTCTGTTTGCTAAAAATTGAAAGAAATTGTTTTTCTTTTGAATTTAAGTACAATAATGGGTAACATTTTGTCGAAAATTTTGTTTTTAATATAACTCTCGTATAAGGCTGATTTTTGATGGGCTATTTGCGTCAAAGTTACAGTCAGTATCTATACTAAATCCAAAGAAAATTTTATTCGTAAATGTTGAGTCATAGTAGAATTGAACACGGAACAATATGGAATAGTCAATTGTTATTAGACGATCTGTTTAAGTTAGATATTTTAAGGCAACTGAATAAAAGCGGATCGTCTATAATGTAATGTGCCTATTTGACTGCAAATAATAGACGATATTCATTTGAACCTTGTATAATGAGCCTTTTTTCTTTTTAAATATCGCAGCCAAAACAGCGTCATACATTGCATAAGATAGTAGAGAGTTTCAAATTTCACGAAAAATGTTTTCAATTTTTGAGAAGTTACTTTCTAAAAAAATTTGCAATATTTGACACTGTTGCGAATGTGATATTTGAAAAGAAAAATGGTTGATTAAAAAGAGTTAAAATGAATATTGTCTGTCGTCTGTAGTAAAATAGTTACATTATATTATAGATGATTCGATTTTAAGAAGTTTTAGTTAACAAAATGTAGCTCATGTTGTTCTCTTTCGAGAAATAGCTCGAAAGGAGAGAATGTGACATCCAGAAGCATAAATGGAACCAGTACTGTCATCCAACCGATCTACTTGTAATAGATCAATTCTTACAATGAAATCTTGCTAATATAATACATTAATATTCCAATTGTTATTATGATTTAATAAAGAATGACATATTGAATATTAGCATACAATAGTTCAGATATTTGAGATTCATAAATTAAGTTAGTAAGTTGCGAGAGTTCATTATGCAACAAGATTTCATTGTAAGAATCGATTCATTACTAGGAGACCTGTGTACTGGTCGTCAAAAAACCTAGACTGGTTGTACGTATTCCCAGAGGTGCAGAATATGCCGCGAAAATGAAGTTTTTTCTTACAGAAAAAAATCTTTCAAAAATTTTCCTCATTGTCAAAGTAAAAGATATTGCTTTCTTTTGGACTTAGTATATTTAAAGAAATAAAACTACGAGACTAAAAAATGTCATATCAAAAACAATTCAATTTTATTACTCATCGAGTAATTGTGGTAGTCTTGAAACTTACTCAGTTCGGAAACGTTTTAACGCAACTGAAATCGAGCATAAGTATGTTGAAAGAGAAGAACTTCGTATCCTAAGTTCCATAAAACAAAAACTTCTCCTCAAATTTTCCATATAATCCCCTCCCCGCTCCATGTAGGCACACACGAGTAGATTCCGCACATCTGGGGAGGCCCCCACCGATTCTTTTCTTCTCAGCGAACCTGAAAATTTTTCGTGCGTTCTACACCGTTTCAAAAAGATGCGACATCTCTTCCTCCGCATGTTGCCTGCCTCAAATCAGCCTTGCCTCTCTCCATTTATATGGGTATAGTACAGTTGTTTTTAGAACAAGTCTTTAGAAAAATTAATTTGGTTTAAAAAGTTGTTCAATAAAAAATAGAGAACTTAGATTTATACGAGAATTATTTTAAAAGCAGAATTGTCGAAAACAAAAAAAAATTCTCCAGTTTTGTATATTTACATCATTATTTGTTTTTATTTCGCTAATTTTATTTCGTGATTTTTTATAAAGAATATTTTCAATTTGTTCAATTCGTTTTTTCCATTGATTATTTTTTAAAACTGGACACCAAGCACGATGCGATAGAATTGGATCAAATATAAGATGATTCATATTAATATGAATTTCTCGACAACATTTATCACAAATAACTAATGCCTTATTAAATTTCCAACAGAAAACACGAATTTTAAAAGCAGATAATAAACGTGAATCATTTAAATATGAACTTGATAAAAGATCAAAATCTGTTGCTTCAATTTGAAACATCTAAAAATTAAAAATTAATATTTCATATTTATTATTTATGAAAACAAACTGTCTGTAATTGACCAACAATATCAATTTGATTTATATGTGATAAAAATTCTTCTGCTTCTTTTAATAATCTATTAACTGTTTCATTTGAATAAATATCTGTTAATTGTACAATTGATTCAGGTATAATCATAAATTTCCATACACAATAACGATGATGAGAATTAACTAATGATTGAGAAATATTTTCTATACATTCCATATCTAAATTTACAAGAAAAACAACAACAACATGAAATCATATTTTCTTCTTTCCATTTTTCTGTCATAACTTACATGCGTCTTTTTTAAGAACACTAGGTAATTGAGCTAAAATTTGTGCATGACAATTAACACATTCAATCAAATCATTTGATTGACATGCCCAACCACGACGTGAACACTCAATAGCGGATATTTGATCAGGTTTACCGAACCAAAGATAATCCTTATTTATACAAGAAAAAAAATTTAATTAATTTTAAAACAGACAAAAAAACAAAATATTTCACTTCATAAGTTTTTAAACGATCTCGATATTCATCCAAAGTTTTATGATTAATAATTTGTAATTGTGATAAATGAAGAAGATGTGATGAAAATTTTGAATCTTTCAACATAATTCTTTTTTTTTTCTTCTTATCTATTAGAAATAAGACAAAGAAAGAAGAAGAATATAGATTAATGTTTAAATATGATTTCTATCGATATAAAAAGAAAAATATAATAAATTACAGACACAATACAAATGAATGCAAACATATTTCAGGATCGACTAGGAACAACAATAAATCACAAATAAATCAATAGAACGAAAGAGAAAAAAAAGAACTAAGCTTTTCGATATTCAAGTCGTTCAACAGTAAATTTTTCATTGATTAATTGATAAACATAGAGTGTAAGTGATGCTTGTTGAATATCCATTAATACAAAGGAAGGTGTTGTTGAACTTAAAATATAAAAATAATAATGAAATAGAAGAAAATGATTTCTTTTTTAAAAGCGAACCTATTTAATGCATTAAATGCTCCTGTAGCTGAACCGGGATTAATAAAAAATTTATTGTCACGTTCAAATGCTTCGAATTTATGCGTATGACCAGTTATAAGAATATCGACATCCATTTGTCGTTGAAGCATACTTAAACTTTCAATATCTCCTTCAAAAAAAAAAAAAAAAATAAATAAATAAAAGTTGTATAGATATTTTATAAATAAATTATCGAAGATTTTTACCCCATGGAACAATTTGATGGCCATGACAAAGACCAATACGAAATTGACCAACAGTAACTACTTTTTGATCGACAAAATTTGGATTCTAGATAATTATCAAAAAAATTCTATACATATATCAGATATTGAAAGAATTACATACATCATCAAAATCACCACGAACAATATGAACATCAGCCGTTAAAGTTTTCAAATAATCAACAGTTTCTTTTGTACATAAATTACCAGTACAGAGAATATGTTGAATACGACCAGGAGTCAACAGTTTACGAAATTCATGTGGTAAACCACTTACACGATAAGGAATGTGAAGATCACCCAAGACAAGAACAAGCTAAATTAAATTAATTAAATAGATAAATAGAATATTCTTTCATTTACCATTATTGAAAAATTATCAGCCTAATAAATATATAATTTAACTTTGTGATGTTTTAAACCTTCCCTAAAACTACAAATAATCAATTCGCTAAGACCTTATCTTGAATAACTAACTGTTTTTCGATCGAACGAAGTTATTCGATGAATCAGCGAATCCACTATTTATTTGCTTTGTTTGCAAGAGTAACACCAACCATAAATATTCAAGTACGAGATAGATGTCAGTCATGTTACTTTTCTTGATCGAAGTATTCTAGTTTCATTCTAACAAGGGAACGTTGCTGAATGATAAATTACTTTTGAGATAAGGCTGAGTTCATTAATTAGACACTATTGAAATTGGAGAGAGAGGGAGAGAGGGGCGAAACTCTGTGCTGAGGACAAGGAGAAACTCAGAGTGATCGAGTTCCCGAAAAAGAGGTCTTGAGTGTGAATTATTTTCAAAAGTACGGGGTTTCACCCCCATGACTCGAGAAGTTCTAAAAAAAAGAGTCGTGTTTATGAGTCATTCTTTTTCAGTTATGACCAATTTATTAGTAAATTGTTTAAAAAAAGAAATATTGTGATCATACTCAGGTTATTTTGAAAATTGACTTTCGAGTTCAAACTTGACAAAAATAAACTTTTGAATAGGATTATTTCGTTGTGAAAGTGTTAAATTTTCTAGTGTCTACTATCTTCAGATATCAATACGAAAGATTCTATTATTCAAAAATGCAAAATCTTTGTTTTTATTGAAGTATTTTGAGATAGATGAGATATGATATGAAAGTTGACATGTTCACAATGAACTATTTACAAAGTTAAAATTCAAAAATTGAAGTCAATTTTAAAGATGATCTAAGTGTCTCCACAGAAGTTTGTTGAAAAAAAAGCTAAGTGAGAATGTCTTCAGTGATCCATTATTGTTGTGTAGTTTTGTATATATAGAAAAATATGAAAACTGAATCAATAGTGTTGCAGCGTAAATATTTAAAGATTTTTTTTTTCTGTTGGAAAACAAGAATATAACAGATAATTGTCCTGCACAAAATGAGATGTACAACAATCATCAATTATCTTTTTCAGTATACCTTTTGTATTTTTGAAACTAATTCTCAATGGTTTACCTACGATACTCATCTATGATTTCTATAAAGTATTTTTAATGCCGACTGATCAGGAGTAATGTAGATATGTGTATTTCATTTGACTGACTAGTCGAATTATTTTACTGACGTAAAAGAGAAAGAATCAATAAAATTTATTTCGTTGCCAAAAAAAATCAGATATGGACGAGAGAGGACGAAGAGTAGCGATTCTAATATTTTTTCAATTTTATTTTAGTTTTTTAAATAGAAATAAAGGTAAAAAAGAAAAAACTTTTCGAGAGACGTGACACAATCAAGTAAAGTACAAAATCATAACAATAACAAAAGTTCAATCAATGACAAGATCATAGAGAAAAATGATTGAATTTGCATTAATTTACTTGTTACGTACAGTTTCGTCGTGTAGCTACCATTTCCACTTTTTCAATCTGTACAAATATTTTTCACACTGTAAAATGTATCAGGAAGTATGGTTTCATTTTTAGCAATATTGATGGCTTCAAGATAATATTCTAAGATCATAGAATATGTTGACGTATGACGAATGTGTCAACGGACAACTTTTTAAAAAAAGAAAGAAAAATTTTTCAATTCAAGAAAAATATTTATACAAAAAAGGATTGTTTTCAAGAAAGCACTTGAAGAAAAGTTTTAATCACGAAAGTTAAACGTACTAAAAAAAAAATGATAGATCAGTATGCAAAATTGTTACAAATGTATCGGAAACAATTAGAGTAAAAACGAATTATCTTCATTAAATATAAATAACTTAATAGAAATGGCATATTTTCTTACATTGTCAAATGTTGTTATTTGAAATTCAGATAATTCTGTAGCACTTCCATTTATTGAAATATTGACAAAATGTAAATAGGTGGGCGATTGTTTCATATAGAAAAATAACGAGCTTTCGTTTACTTAGTCATTTGTATTAAGCTATTTATTATTGGCATAAGGCTGTGTGAATTGTGCATATGGTAATTTTCAATGTTTAGCTTTCACGGAGAAAAATCAACATTCATCTAGAATAAAATAAATTGAGAAAAGATGAAAAAAAAATACAGTGAAAGTAATCTTTCATTTATTTCATAATAATGTTGATTTGACATGTTATGTAAAATTTTCAAATAATACTTTGACTAAACCTCAAGTATGTTTTAGGATTTTAGGTCTAATATTTTTACTTGATATAATACCAAATAAGTTTTTAGGTTTATTTAACTAATTTAATATTTATATGATAGATTAATTAATAATATTTATTATAGATATGACATCTAATTTAACTCAGACAGCATTTCAAGCTAGACGACAAAATTTAATTAATTTAGCACTTAAAAGAGATCCTGTTCAGTCATATCCAAAACCTGTTGTTACCTTCGTTGAAAATGTACCACCTACAAATGTTAACGTTGGAGAATTACATGTAACTGATACAATTGTCAATGAATTGTCACCAGTCAATTCACATATTAGTGTTATATCACAACCACAGATGGTTGTAGATGAATTACCTTCAGCTACCCCAACAATTAAACTAACTAGTGATCGTTCAATCTCTACTCCATCATCTATATTGTAAGGAAACTATTCAGAAATATATATGTCAATATAAATATGATTAATATTTTAGGAAGAACCGATCAGAAAATGTATCATCTAAACTAGCAGCACCTTTGAAATCTACTGGTGATATTTCACCATTGGTTCCACTTGTGGGCACAGCAATATTACTTGTTATAATTGGAGNCTTTTCCCCTCCTTTGCTATCACCCCACGGTTTCCCGCTACGGCCTGTGGGGGGGGGGCGTCGCAGGAAGTGGGTCCAAAATTTCTACCCTAAACACTTCGACACTCCTTTCAGATCGTGTTTCGCAAAAAAAATATGGTGTTCCGAAAAGGGATCTTATTGACCTCCCGTCTTTTATATAACCACCCAAGCTTCTAAAGTACCGTAGTATTCATCGAAAAGACTGAGCTTTTCCGTTTTGTTGCTGTTCCCTTCAAGATGCTTGGAGAATAGTTCGGCCAGAGCACGTCCTCCTTCTCCTGGAGTTTCATCTTCCATTTTGAGAATATTGGCAATCATAACTTGAAACCACAAAAAATGACCATTGTGTTTCGTCAACATGCTATCGATACCTTTTGTAGAGCACCGAAAAAATTCCAAATTAGAATGAGCAATTTTCGACATTTTGCCGTCATGTTTTAATGCTGAAATCAGTGAGGTCGATTTGGTATAAATGCCACGTATCTAATTCATAATGCTTTTATGAGATCTTTGCAAATCGATCATTTCATTATATCTTACCTTCCAATACTGACTCTGAAGATCCACATACGAATTACATTGAAAGCAATAAATATAAACCGAGTGCAGTTGTTCTCTATTGTGAATTTGAGATAGAATAGACCGAGCATGAGAGCCAGACACAATGAGAACAGCTCGATCGTTACTCGATAAATCATTAAAATATTTAACGCATTCTTCTAAATTGATAAACGAGCGCAGATATTTGATCAGTGAACGCAGTTGAGCTCGTTGCGGTATTTGATCAGTCGTAGTGTCGTCTCCTAGCCACACGATCGAAAAAGTACTGAAGTTTGACATTTCGTCTCGACCTTTCACTCTACAAAAGTAAAGGTTTATTACTGAACTTTAAAAGTTCCGCATTTTTACATCGAACGATTTTAAGTTCGATGACATGCAAATCATTGCGAATTTTTTGTTCAGAACTTTTTAAAGTTTCATACGTTTCACAAAATTACGCAAGTCTTCAATGAAACCCTTTACAAGTTCGTCAGTTTTTCATGAATCTGCCGATATTTTCATGGGTGTGGATGTGGGTGTCTTCTTTCTTAAACTCGCACCCACATCCACACCCAAATATCGTTTGAAAGATTATATCATCAATATGTTACTGATCGTTACACAACAAGAATTCGCTTTGTGTCCTATTGCTACTAATGACCACTATGATTCACTTAATGAGCCATATTCACAATTCACTTGTTGGCCACTATTTCAGCTATATGGTGGCCAACACATAATCATTCATTTCTTTTCCTTTTTAAACAATCGAAAAGAGGAAAAGAAATGAATGATTATGTGTTGGCCACCATATAGCTGAAATAGTGGCCAACAAGCGAATTGTGAATATGGCTCATTGTATTGGAAAAATGTTTCGAGTTTCACTGCTATAAATGAATTGAATAAGGCGTGTGATTACCAATCATCAGATTTTTGAAGTTTTAAAGTATTAGATTTGTGAATATGAAAATTCCGCACAATTTATACAGTTTTGAAATCTCTTGTAGAGAGAAAGGTACTGTCATGGCAGCGTACTGGTTGAACCAGGTGTGGGCTCAGATCATTCTGAAAGGTTTTGAAAAAAACGTTAAAGGAACACTTTCTGTGGGCTATGATGGACTGGCGAGAGAACTTTTCGAGGTGTCAAATCGCTTTTCGAGCAAGATGATGTTTATTTGGTGAATACTAGAAAGTAACAGCAGAGTCAATAGTACAATGTTTTTCCGGACCTTCATTCTCGAAATATCAACAAAAAAGCTGTGATCTCATTTGGATCACGTAGAAAGTCAAGTTTCGATTTCAGATTTTCCATGAACAAAATTCTTAATAATATTAGTTGATTATGCAAGTTTTAGCTTTTCTAGTATTTTCTTTCTAGAAATATAAATATATGAGCGAACTTTGCTTTTATACATGAGAGAATTTTGACTATTGAATAATCTCAGAATAGGAGATACAAGAAAAATTACAACTTGCCCAATGAACTAATCTCATTGCATGATTCAACAGTTAAAATACTCATTATAATACAGACTTGAGAACAATCATACAATGTTTAAATGTTTTTCCCTTTCGTCAGTTAGATCAACATCTTTTGTATAAAAATATTGAGTTCATGTTTTGATTAAATATGTGCTTATTATTGAATTCAATTCTTAGGAATCATAAATAGAAATGAACTTCCCTTAACTTCTAAGTCTCGATTAATCATCGATGGTAGTCGAATATTTGTTTTTGTTTTCTAAATTTTGTATAATTTTCCTTCATCGACTATTTCTCATGTCCATATAATTTCTTTTCATTTGTTTATCTTTTTTGTTTAAATAAAATCTTTAAATTCTGTAAGAAGTTCATCAGTCGAGAATTACTACAGAGATGATTACTATCCTTCGTCGTATTCATCATCAAACTGATAGATTGAGTTAAATATGTTTTTTAAAATTTATTAGTACAAGAAAGAAAAAATATTTCTTCACTCGATTACGACTTGAGTTTTTTTTTACAATTTGTTATTTTATTCAAATCGATCATTCACTGTTGTCCTTTTGGTTTATTTATTTAATTTGTCAGTACACTTCTATACTGTTATGTTGTTCGAATCGAAGGAAAATATACTGGTTGATGATGAATTGATGAATATAATTCATCAATTCTTGTTTTTAATGTTGACGGTCCAGAAGTATATTTTTTTAAAATAGTAAGATATTTCGTTTGCCTACGACATCTAATGAAAATATCAAAAGAAATCGAATTTTAATTTCAATAAACCAAAATACAATAACATACTGTGTTAATAATCTTCGTTGTCCTTCAGGTGAATCTCGAACAAGACAATCAATTGTTACAGCAGCATTACCAGGTAAAAGAATATTTGAACTATTTAATAATGCAATAAGATGTTCAAGACCATCACTTGCAATAATGGCTTCACAAACACCTATTTGATCAAAAAGAAAAACAAATTCTCTAGTTAAAATAACAACAAAAAAACATCTTCACTTTTTTACAGAAGAAATAAAACACTAAAAGAAAACAAAACATGCAATAGTTGGTTATTATGTACTCTTCATGCAATTATATTAATCATATATCATGTTTTTCCAACCTGAATGTTTATGCATTCCAAAACCTAAGAATAACTCAATAGATTATTTATCTTATTTTTAAATTTATTATTTATTAACCTTTTGGTATACGTGCTAATCGTCCAATAATATCTGTTGATATAATTTTTTCTTCATCATCAATATGAGTATTACCAATGATTCGAAATAAAGTCATTAATGCTTGATTAATCCATTCTGAAGCAATTATTTCAGGAAAAAGATGAATTAAAATAATCATCTAAAATTCATAATTATTTTCTTATTAAAAAGAAAAAGAAACAGTTTGTAATATAATTTACTTGAAATGCTGCATTAGAACGGATAGAAATATTGTTCGATATTAATAACAATCGAAAATGTTCATGATCAAGTGTAATATTTTCTGCACAATAGTTATAATAACTAACATCATTACAAATAAAAGTAACCAATCTAAAGAAAAATACAAAAAAAAAAAATATATATATATATTGTTTTTTTTTTTCTTGTTAAATTTTTAATTATTTCATCTATACCCAAGACCAGCTCTAATTTGAACTTCTTCATCAGCAGCATTAAGTAATAATGAAATACGTTTAAATAATTGTTGAATAACTGGTTTTGTTAATACTTCTTTATTTTCTTTATGATCTATAAAATGATATTTAATATAAAAATATTATTTAATTTCAATATTAAAAGATTTAAACATACCAAAAATTGCGCAAGCAACAGTTGCTATTGCTTTAGCTTGAAGAACTTTATCTTTATTTGTTCGACGAATTAATATTAACAATTGATTTAATCCATTAGCTTTTTGAAATATTGTTTGATTTGTTCGACATGGATGATATGTTGGTAGAAGACACAATTGTTGAATACATTGTAAACATTTAATAAGTAGTTTTGGTTCATGATCAACTGATAATAATCGAACAATTGGTGGTATACAATGTCGACGTCCAAATTTTACAGGAATATTTTCATTTTCTGTTGGTACTCGTCGAAGAAGTTCACTGATAGCATCAAGAATAATATACAATTGATCACTTGTTTTCGCATTTAAAACTTCCACTAAAGTAGATACTCCAACAGAATCTTAATGAAAAATAAAAAAACTTTCATATATTATAATTTTTATTTTTCAATTAAATTGTCTTACAAGCCGTTGTTTGTCTTCGACTAGGTTCACGTCCTGTCAATGACCAAAGTGTACATATAATAGAAATACGTAGTTTTGGTAATGTTGCTTTATTTAATAATGTAAGAAGTTGTTCAGCACCACCTTGTTGAAAAATTGTGAATTGAGAACCAGAATTATGTATAATAATCATCTAAACAGAAGATATTAGTTTAGTTGTTTCTGTTTTTGTTTTTGTTTTTGATGAAAAATAAAAATTTACTTGAAGTGTATCAACACTTGAACGTTGTACATCTTTATATGTTGAATTGAGTGCACTTAATAAATGTGCAATCAATAAATGATTATCAGCACATATCTGTTGTTGTTCTTCATTTTCTAAACATAAATCTCGAATAAAACGAAGAATTGATAGTGTTAAATCACGATCAAATCGTTCAAGTAAATCAATAGCTTGTTCAAGAATTGTTCGTTTTGTTGATGATGAATTTTGTATTAATGTTTGATATTCTTTTTTATAATGTGCAATTTTACCAAGAATATCAAAATAAAGACATACTTGTTTTATAGATATATTCATTGTATCTATATTTAATAATGTTTGTAATTCACCAATAAGATTTTGATTAACAAATGCTCGAATACAACGTATATCATCACATAATTGACAAACAATATGTGAAAAAACCAATAAAATAATATCATTTGTTTTATGCATTTTAACAAATGCACGTGCACCTTCTTCATTTTGACTAAATATAGTTCGAAAATTTGGATCAATATACATAAGATTATAAAAAATAATTAAACAACTTAATAATAATGGTTCATTTAAATTATTTGTATTATTAACAGTTTGTATAAGAACTTGAATAGTTTTTTCAATAAGACGTAAATTTGATATATATGACCATACGGTATTAATATATTGAGGTGATGTTAATTGTTCAAGTAAATGACCTGCAGCTGATGATTCATCAAGTGTTTTAGATATAAACATAGTCATCAATGTATTCCATAAATCGAGTTCATTTGCATATGGTGCTTCTGCAAAATATAGAAATAAATCAGCATTCTGTTTTAAAACAGTTATTGAAGCCATAGAACGATTATCACTATCACGACAGGTCACTTTAGCCCCGTATTTTATTAGACATTCAATAGTACGACGTGCATTACCAACTGTTGCAGCTAATAATGGTGTTAAACGAAAATAATCATATGTTATTGCTTCAACCATTTCTTGGACACGTTCTTGATGAAGAAGATTGAGTCGTTCTTTTTCTTCTTCTGTTCTATTTTCATCATTTTCATTATTTTTATGTCCACCTTTTGAATCATGATTAGCTAATATTTGTTCAACAACAGTATCATAATCACGAAAAGCAGCTTCATGAATAGGTAAACGACCTTCATTATTATATTCACTCGCCATAACTACATTTACAAATAAAATAAAAAAAACATAATATCCTTCAAAATAATTTATAAACATCCGTTATATCCGATTGTTTTTTTGGCAATTCATATTCATTCCCTTCTTCTTTTTTATTTATTATTTCTGTCTATATTAAGTAGGAAAAAAATCCAAAATAGCAATCAAAACCTTTCCTGTCTCCTTATTGTGTCAATAGTTGTTTCGACAACCTTATTCTTTTCTATTTTTAACACATAAAAAACAATTAAATCAATCAGGTATGAATCGATTTAATATATATGTTAAGCTTTCCGTAGACTTGTTATAGATAATTTTAAAAACTTTTCTTTTTTTCTTCTCAATGTATTTCAAAAAATATGTACTTACAAACAAACTAGAGTAGAATACTTTCTTGATAAGAGAAAAAAAAACTGATGTTTGTCGTTGTTGCCTGATTATTTCTTTTTAGTTACACAAGAAAGAATTTCTCGATCGAAAATGTAATAATATTTTCGAGTACTGTTCTGTTCTTATTGAAATATTATTTATTTATTCGTACAATATAACATTCCTATTGTTTGATGAATGCATTGCATATATTGCCAACATTTTTTTTTCGTGTTCGAAAAAAAAAAAATAATCAAAGGTCCAAACATATTTTTGTCCAGAAAAAAAGAATTCATTTTTGCTTCGATAAAAAATGGAATGACTTAAACAGAAAAAAACTAAAGGTTTTTTTATATTTGCTGATTTAATTGTAGGTGATATGTAGAAGTTTGTCAAATGAATGAAATTATAACCGTTTTCGTCGGTTTCATTTTTTTTTTCATTTTGTTTTTAACCACTTGAACAGACACAACGTTTCTTCTCTTTAACAACAATAACAACAACAAAAAAAAACGAAAAGTGAAATCCATTAGTAATTTGTTAGACGTTATATGGAGAGTATGGGAGTGAAATAAAAATATATATTTAAAATGTTTCGATCAAATATTATTTTGAACAAGTAAAAAGTGCGAGCGAAGTCGCAACAATGACAACATTACATAGGTTAATATGTATTGATAGAATATTTGATTCCTATATTATTAATTGTTGCTTTTTTCTTCTTTTTTGATAATTAATAGTGCACGAAAATCAGCAGCTTCACATCATGATATAACAAATGATGATGCAACTAAAGCATTACGTATCTATGATGATAATGGGTATTTACCAATACATAAAGCAGCTTTTCATGGACATGAAGCAACAATAAAAAATATATTAGATGATGCACAACAAAGAGATGAACTTGAAGAACAACTTGAAGCTAGAACAGAAAAAACTGAATTCACTCCATTATTACTTGCAGTTACCGTAGGACGATTAGAAATTATTGCAAGTTTACTTAAATATCCCGTCAATTTAAATGCAGTTGATGCAAATGGAAACGGTAACTAAGTAGAAAAAAAAATATGAATGATAAATATTAATTTAAAAAAAAAAATAATTGATTGTTCCTTGTTAGATTAAATTAAACTTAATAGAAAAAAATAATTTTGATTTTTATTATTTCTAATTTCTATATCAATATTCTTAAAGATAGAATTGAGCAAAGATTTAATGATCAATTCCAAATTCGATAATAAATTATCACAATTGCTTTAAATTTTTATTATGACTAGTCTTCGAGTGTTATAGTTACAGTGATGTTTAAAAACCAATGAGAAAACTATTGACAATTGTTTTCTAATAGTAGTACTTTTTTAATGTGCAAAATATCTTTCTTTTGACTCGTATTATTCATCAATATGATCGAATGTGTTTGAATGAAACTGTATTGCATATTAAACGCGTTTGAAGAATATATAATTTGAAATAATAGAAATCGATTCTTGCACTTCCAGCTAAGAGTTTTTCTTTTTTGATACGCCCCAAATTTTATCAAAAAATATTGTCTTCTTCTAGTAATGAATTTTATAATATGTAAGATAAATTAACGAAATCAAAATTATTTTATTATTCTTTTCTTTTCAAAAAGTTTGTTGATCTATCATAAAACTAGGAGTTCATTTATTGAAATAACGACGTCAAAACTTATTATTATCAAGCGAAAGAAAAAAAAAACACATTTTCATTATTGATGTTTCATAAATAATGATTGACAGAAACAAGTGTTTCTTATTTTAATTAGGTATGGCAACCATAGCTGCTCTGTCACAAAATGAACGTACACTTCGTTATATTATTGATTTACCTTTTCCAAATAATTCATATAATGTTTGGAAGCCATTGTTTAAATTATTTATTTCATTAAATGATGATGAAAGTATTGTATGTGGTCGTGCTCTTGAATTATTAACGCGTCGAGAAGCAAACAATCATCGACAGAGTCCATATTGGCCAGCTATGATTGATAATGGTCTTATTCCAACATTAATTCATGTATTTACTGAATCAAAAAATGATGATGTACTTGTAAGTGCGTATCTTTTATTATTAAATAGTGCTATGGAATATCCGCGTGTTAAAACAGAATTAGTGACAATTAAAAATGCATTTAGTCCTATGTTAAAACATACACGTTCAACAAATAATCAAATTGTTACATTATTAGGTCGTGTATTAGCGTGTTTAAGTGAAAATAAATCTTTAATTGAACCAATGGTTGATCAAGGTCTTATTGAATCATTAATGATACTTGTTGATAAACAACGTACACCACATACAATAGCATCATATTTTGATTGTTTAGCTAATATTGTTTCATATTCATCTGAATATCAATTAAAATTAGCTAATTCACAAGAATTTATTTCATTACTTATAAATCATTATTTAGAAGAATTTGATTTACGTTTATCATTATCTGTTATGCGTTTTATACGTGAATTAGCACTTAAAAATGATCAAATACAAAATTTATTAGCAAAAAATGGTGCATGTGAACATATACTTAGTGCTTTATCAGCATCATCTAAAGATTTACAACAAGTTGCTATTGAAGCTATACAAGCTATAAGTGATAAAAATGTTCTTGTACAACGTATGATGTTACGTGAAAATGCACTTGAACAATTATTAAGTTTATTAGAAAAAACAAATCTATCTAGTTTACAAATAGCTATTGTTTGTACATTATGGACATTATGTGGTAATAGTTCATCACGTAAACGTGAAGTTGCAACACGTATTGGTGTTAAAAAATTAATTGGTTTTTATGGTATTAAATCTGAAGAACATTTATTAGCTATAACTGATGCACTTGGAGAATTAGCTAAACGAACAGCAAGTGTAAAAATGAATATACAAGAAGAAATAAATCGTTGCCAAGGAATATCATATCTTATAAGATTATTGAAATCGGATAGTGAAATGCTTGTTTTAAGTGTTTTAAGAACATTACAGTTACTTGCATGTGCACCTGGTTTTGTTTCGAATCGACGAAATCAAGAAGCCATTGTTAAAAATGATGGTGTTACAATAATGGTTGCTTTGATGTTACATGCCAAAAGTGAAATGATTCAAGTCGAAGCTGCACAAGCTTTAGCTTGTATTGGTTTAGGTATATATATAATACTTGCTAATCTATCTATATAAAATAAGAAAGAATTCTGTTTTTTTTTTTTTCTTTAGTAAATGTTCAATGTTCGACAATTATTGAAAATACATTAGATTTTTCATATGAACATCTATTTAATTTAATGCAATCAACGAATCCAATTGTACAGTTAAAAGCAACGAATGCATTGGCTTCATTTGTCTATAATAATCCACGTGCACAATTATCTCTTGCTAAACAACATGAACTTTCATTTGATTATTTTCAAACATTTCTTCAAAATAATAATGATCAAATACGATGTGCAGCAGCATTTCAAGTTTGTTTTTATTTTTATATAATTTATTAATAAATATGAATTAAAATTATTTAGCTTGTTGTTTTGGCTAGTTTAATTCGTGAACGAACACAATCAGTTAATACAGCTATTGGATGTGGAATTCTTATTGATATTCTTCGAAAATCTCAAACTGAAGAAATAAAATCAGAAGCTGCTGAATGTATAGCTCGACTTGCACATATGAAATCAGGTAAATTATTAAAATTGATTTTTCTTTTGTACTAGTTTTTATTCGGTTATCTCTATATCAAAGCATATTTATATATAAATATATAAACATATATACATATTTAATTATAGTTTCGGAAGTGCTTAAGCACACAGGTAACATTATTCCAATACTTAAATGCCTCTTCTTCTTTTGTTCTTCTTTGCACTTAATACTATCCTTCCTTTATCTGCATCCCGAAAAACTTCTTATTATAGTTTTTATTTCCTTTATTCTATAGATTATACTTAATTGTTGCATGAATATTTGTTCTCATTAATAATTCTTTCAGGTGTACCACAAGCATTAATTTCAGTTAATGCAATTGATTATTTATGTGATTTATTTTCATCATCACATGATACAACAATTGGTATTGCATCTGTAGCACTTGGATATTTATCTTATGTTCCTGAAGGACAACGAAAATTATTACATAGGTATTTAAAGATAAAAGATTTTTTTCTTCAAAAATCTTTTATTTATATTTATAAAAAAAAAAGATGTCGTGGTGAACCGGATATAATGGCTTTTCTCAAAGTGTATAATTGCTTACCTGATATGCCGCCCCGTATATCAAAACATCTGCTCGAAGATTGGGATCGATATAATACACTCAAACTACCGAAATTACGGTCAGCGTACAGTACTTCTACTACAGTGGCATTCACAGCGTCCGTCATTAGTCGCACCCAATTACTGATCAGGGCACAATCTCGTGCTGCTCGCCACGATGGCTTTTGAGAGCGCGAGAGAATGTGTTTACCAGCGTGTGTGTGTGCGTGTTTGTGTGTGTTTGTGCTCTTGATGCTCTCACTGCTCGGCATTTACATACATATTTTTCTTTATTTGATTTTTGTTTTTATTCTCTTCTTTTTCTTCTATTTTTAAATGGCATTGAAACTGTTTTAACTGAAATTTCTATTTATTTATTTCCTTTTATTTTTCTATTTTAGATCCCGAGGGTCAAATATGCGATACTTTAAAGTTCTTTCAAACAATATTGAACGATTACGAGCAGCACCACAATCAACGATTGAAAAAGAACCTACAAAATCAACTGTAATGAAATTTTATTTACCACCTATTCGTCAAAAAGTTAAATAATTTATTTTTTCACTGAATTAAATATATATATATCATTGCAAAAAACAATCAAATTTATATATAAAATTTTAGTATTTATATAGAACAATAAATATCTCATTGATTTCTAAATTATGTTAAAACTTATTATTCTTTTATAACATATTAATGAGATCATTTGAAACTTAACAAGATTTTTTTCTATTGATATGATATTAAATAGATGTAAAGCTTGATCTTCGTGGATTTAATGTAATAATAGTAAAAAGTTTTCTTTTCAATGTTAAAATTCAACAGATTCTATTCATTCATCAAGTAAAACTAACAAGATAACAAAAAATTCTTATGACATTGGAAAGTCTATCTCATTAAAGAAATACAAATTTTCTTTTTTTGAAGACTCATATATAAGTCACGATTAAGTCTGTCCTAGACGACAATTACAGTCAATTTTAGAGAAGTCACGAAAAACAAATCAACATGTAAATTTCAATATGATGGGTAAAATTAGATAAATAAAAGACCTGGTAAAATATCACATAACTTAAAAATTCATAAACAAGAAACAAAATCTTACAAGTAAAAACATATTTTGCACATAGACTTCAATAATATAAAGCAATAAATCTTCAAGAAATTTTTCATAAGAAAAATGCTTCTATTAAAACAACATCTGCTATTACAATGCCATATCACGATACGTTTTCAAACAATCTATTCATGTTTGTCTTCAAATAAATGACGTCTATTAGTGCACAATGCCATATTTGATATAAAACAAAAATTTAATTAACTAATCAATGTTATACAAAACACATTTGATTTCTAATAAGGACAATCATCGTATATAATTAAAGATAAAATTGCTACACTGATTTGTTGATGATTGTTGAAGCCTATTATTTACTAATATATCAATATAAATTTTTTCTCTATGTTAAAAATTCTAAAAAGAAAAATGAAATATTTTGTTCAATAAAATTTAACATGATTTCATTTTGTTTAAAGTTTCTTTTGACAAAAAATTTAAATCGTAAATAAACAAAAAAAAAAAAAAAGAAAGATATTTTCAAGTTAACAATCAACAGATTAATACATAAATCGATATATATTTGTATATATATATATATAAATAAACTGTTCATTAATAGTTATCTTAAATAACCAAAACAAAAAAGAAAAAGAATATATAAAGATAAACTCGAAATAAAATAAGATAAAAATATTGAAACTCATTTTTCTAATGGTGATATTTCATCATTTAAACTATGGATTATATGATTTACGTGATTATTTTCAATATGTATATAACCATTTGGACGATTGATCGAATTTACTGTTGATCGATTACTTCCATTAAACTTTCAATAATCATTTCTCTTTACTCTATTTAATTTTTCATTATTATAAGAAGATGCTGGATCAATTAAAGGAAAAGAAGTCATTTGAGTCTTTGCTACAATAGCTGTTGTTATTAATCCTGCTCCACCTCCGCCATTACCAGCAACAGGAGGAACATTTGCTCTATCGTTTTGACAATATTCCGGTAAAATTTTTGAACATCCAGGTAAAGATAAAATCATAACACGAAGTTCTTGCCGAAAAACATCAGCTGTTAAAAAATAAAGTAAAAAGTTTGCTGCTGTATTTGCATAGTAAATTAATGAAAACATAGTCCATAATGATTGTGAATTTGTTCCGTGTAAATTTTTAAATAAATGTCCAAATGCCATAAATGTTGATGCTGGTGCGGTTAATAAGATGAATACACATGAGACAGAGAGAAGCATAATTGTCATATTACGCTGTTTAGCTTTTTTACGTTGGTTTTTTTGATTAATACGTTGTTGGATACGACGTGCTGATGCAATTACTTTTAATATCAATGAATTAAGTATTAACATTGTTACAAATGGACATAATGTAAAGAAAAACCATTGAATATATCCGATCATGTTTGAACGAATCCATAAATAAGTTGGATATTGTGATGATACATTGCATACACGTCTAAGTGATATTGTTTGATTCAATGATGTTGACATGGGATTCTTAGGTACTAATATAAGTTCATAAAAAATACCCCAATGTAATTGAATAAAAATGGAAAATAAACAAATTAGACCAATAATCATATATGCATTTTTGACAGTGCAATGTCTTTTTGAATAATGATGTTTTGCTATTGCAAGATAACGTTGAACGCTAACAGCAACAAGTAATGTTGGAGATAGATTAATAAAATAATAAGTAAAAAATATATGTAATTTGCAAGCTATATTGCTATGTAAACGCATGTTTTGTTCAGGATCAAGACGCACAAGATAGAAATTCAATACGCTGAAGAAAACATTACCTAAATATAATAAGTATTATATATATAAAAACTATATTAATAAATTTTCTTGCCTAAGTCAGATAATGCTAAAGCAATTAGATAAATAGATGTAACTTGAGCTCTTAATTTTTTTCGACTAAGTGTTAAAGCGGATAAAGTATTACCGATACCACCGATAACTATTAATAAGCCACCGATGATTCGAACGGACCATTTAAGGACAGGAAAATGATTTTGATTGGAAAGCGCCTTAGCAGCAGACGATGTTGTTACAGTTAAAAGTGACATTAATGATGAGGTAATATTTGATGATGATGGTGTTACTTGATATCCAAATGTTGCTTCAATCATGGTAAAATTACTATCGAAGAAGAGTGGCTCGAGCCAGAGTATATCTTCCTTGACCATTGACATTGTAGACGACAAAATTACACGGCCGATAAACAAACTGATGAGCGTAGAAGCCGATAGGCAAAAGCGGCCGGTTTTCTTGCCGTGTAACCTAAATAAACGGGAGTCATTAAGGACTATCGAGATTCATGTTTGATGTTTTCTATAAAAATTTCTTTTTTTCTCTACTCCGAAAGAAAAACTGATGCTATATTTTAAATGCACAAACCTTCTTAGTTATGTATTCCATCATAATATCGACGTTCTCGGAATAAAACTGACGAACGGCATTTTTAAAGCAATAGCAATAAAAGCAACTTTCTCTCTTTCTTCTTCTGTCGCTCTCTTTCTATCACATTATCGTTCTCTTCTATCGCTATATCACAAAACGCATTCAATTTTCATCATGCTACTCATTAGATTCTTCCAATGTATGCATCGGTAAGGTGAAGAAGAAAGTCTCGGAAATGGAAAAAGATATGTGTGACATGTATGCATACTTCTTTCTGACCCAATCTTCTTTCTGTTACGTTTTTTTTTCTTAAATAAATGTTGGCAAGCTAGCAACTTCAATAATACAACAATAATAATGATCATAATAAAAAAAAAAGAACTTTGACACCGATGTAAGCAAGTAGATGATAAAGATTTATCAGTTGTCTTTTCGATAATATATATCAATCATCATCATTATTCAAAGAAAAAAATATATATAAATAAAACTTTATATATATATGCATAAAAGTAACAAGTATGTTACTTAATAAAACAAAAACACACACATTCATCTCAAGGATGACACTGCATGTTGATAACATTTTTGTTTCTTTTCTTATCGTTTCTTTTTTTCCTTACAACATTTGTTCCTGATTCAATTATTATTACCTTCTCCAGGCTGAGTAAATTCTGTATGATCAGTCATACGAAAAAAATCTATTCATATAAAAAACAAAAGAAAAAAAAATTCTACCGATAAAAATGCTTATTGCCATCCTGATTATCATTTCTCACTTATTGAATAAGAAAAATAAATCTACATGATGAAAAATATGAATTTAGCGCAATTCTTTTCTTTCTTCATCTTCTTATCATTTTTCTTTCGACTTGATTGGTTTTACATCAGTCCACAGGACGGAAATAAAAAGGATTTTTGGTACGCTGATCAAAAATATTTTGTAAACTATAAAATTTTATTAAAAAAAAAAGATTAAACAAAACAAAAGAGTATCTTTTATACAAGGATTAACATTGATTTATCTTTAAATCTTATTAGTATTTCAATTATTGATAAATCTGAAATATTAATGCCGAAAAGATCTGAACAACGAAGGGGAATAACAGAAAAGTTATTTTCCCTTGTTCTAGTTAAACTCCACACTTAATATGTATAAAAGCATGTTACGAGAAACGAAGAGTAAGAAAGAGTTGTAGAACCATTGAATGTACTTGACATAACTCTCAAGAAGCAAATTAATGTCGATTTGTTTGCTCGTTAGAAAGAATGAGTGAGTCTGTGTGTCGCGTTTAATAATTGACGATACTTACACAATCGTTCTTTTCTTGCTTGTTAAAAACCCATGTAGACAAGATAATCTTAAAATAATTTTCTTTTCATATCTTAATTTTCTTTACACATTTATAAAGAGATAAAGATCAAAATTATTTCAATAATAATTATAAAAAAGTGATGATGAGAATCAAAATGGAAAAAAAATATTCATAGCTTGAGTTTCTTCTTTCTTTTTGTCGTGCTTTTTCATTCTGTCTTTTCTTTTCTCTGTTACTGTTGACTAATAATTTTGTCATATATGTGTGCATCTTATTCAAAAAAAAATGAACGACTAACGGCACAACTGTTCCAGCGGAGACTTCCCATAGGAATTAGTGTATTATATGTCCTGTTGTGTTTTTCTGTATTCTAGAGCGTTAATGAGAAAGAAAAGGGAGAACAAAGAAAAAGAAAAGAAAAGAAAAAGAAAAAAACTATGAATAGACCACAAACGACACAGAGAGATGCTCAAAAATAAAGATCATTCAATTTTACAAGTGCTATTATACGACAATTATGGGTTTCATTAGATAAAACTACGTGAAGTTCTCACATAACGCTAAAGATCAATCAGTTTCATAATCATTGCATACTTACTAATAGATGTGTATACATATATATATGTATGATGTATATACCTTAAGGGAATGTAACATGAATCGTACTGTGAAGATATGATTGACATGAATCGTTCCCGGGTACTTTATTCGTTAATATGAGTTTTCTGGTGATAAACACATGGAT